ATGTGATGATAAGTCTCCATGACTGAAAGAACCAAAATATGAGCGAAAGGGGTGGGGCCAGGGACAGTCAGGCCTGGAAGGAAAGAGCTAGATGATGCTGGATATCTTCCAGCCAGGATGTGAGGCAGAGCTCTATCTGACTGGCTGCAGCTTCTAATGCAAATTTTGAGAAGCTCCCAGTGTGCCATGAAATTAGAGGAAGCCATTTCAGTCCAGGGGAGGAGCCTCTACACCTGTACAAGACTGAAGGGGAGGAGCCAGTACACCTGTGCAAGACTGAAGGGGAGGAGCTGGTACACCTGTGCAAGACTGAAGGGGAGGAGCCGGTACACCTGTGCAAGACTGAAGGGGAGGAGCCGGTACACCTGTGTAAGACTGAAGGGGAGGAGCAGGTACACCTGTGCAAGACTGAAGGGGAGGAGCCGGTACACCTGTGCAAGACTGGAGGGGAGGAGCCGTACACCTGTGCAAGACTGGGGGGAGGAGCCGGTACACCTGTGCAAGACTGAAGGGGAGGAGCTGGTACACCTGTACAAGACTGAAGGGGAGGAGGCGGTACACCTGTACAAGACTGAAGGGGAGGAGCCGGTACACCTGTACAAGACTGAAGGGGAGGAGCCGGTACACCTGTGTAAGACTGAAGGGGAGGAGCCGGTACACCTGTGCAAGACTGAAGGGGGAGGAGCCGGTACACCTGTGCAAGACTGAAGGGGAGGAGCCGGTACACCTGTACAAGACTGAAGGGGAGGAGCCGGTACACCTGTGCAAGACTGAAGGGGAGGAGCCGGTACACCTGTGCAAGACTGGAGGGGAGGAGCCGGGTACACCTGTGCAAGCTGAAGGGGAGGAGCGGTACACCTGTGCAAGACTGAAAGGGAGGAGCCGGTACACCTGTGCAAGACTGAAAGGGAGGAGCCGGTACACCTGTGCAAGACAAGCTACACTGTGCAAGACTGGAGGGGAGGAGCCGTACACCTGTGCAAGACTGAAAGGGAGGAGCCGGTACACCTGTGCAAGACTGAAGGGGAGGAGGCGCTACACCTGTGCAAGACTGAAGGGGAGGAGTCGGTACACCTGTGTAAGACTGAAGGGGAGGAGCCGGTACACCTGTGCAAGACTGAAAGGGAGGAGCCGGTACACCTGTGTAAGACTGAAGGGGAGGAGCCGTACACCTGTGGAAGACTGAAGGGGAGGAGCCGTACACCTGTGGAAGACTGAATTTAAGGTGGGAGGGGGGATTTAAGGTCAGCTTATCCAATGCAGCTGTAGACTGCCACAATATCCATGAAAAGACCGTTCCTGATTGGTTCCTGGGGGTTACTGTACAGCTGGTGGGCGCTCTTTGCACTTCCTTAGTAAACAAACCTGAGATTTTCATGAAATCTTCAGGCAATCTGATCTGGTGGTAATATTTGGCAGTGGAGTCTTTACCGTCGTCGGGTTGTGGACTCGCAGCCCTGGCAGGCATAGTGAGAACAGGTGGTTTTCAGATCTCATGTGGCACCTGAATAAAGATACAGCTTTTATATGGCCGGGATTGACTTGGAGCCGTCCTGCACTGCGTGCTTCTCACTGCGTGATACCGGGTGACAGATTGCAGCATCCGGGAAATAACCGAGCGCCGCCTAATCGCCAATTACTGCAAAATATTGGAAAAAAACAGCACTCAGCTCATGAATTGAATCTGAAGGTGACACACTATGATCATGAATGAAACGCACATATATATATATATACTGTATATGTGTGTGTGTATGTGTATATATATATATGTGTGTGTATGTGTATATATATATATGTGTGTGTGTGTGTATATATATATATGTGTGTGTGTGTGTATATATATGTATGTGTATATATATGTGTGTGTATGTGTATATATATGTGTGTGTGTATGTGTGTATATATATATATGTGTGTGTGTGTATATATATGTGTGTGTATGTGTATATATATGTGTGTGTGTATGTGTGTATATATATATATGTGTGTGTGTGTATATATATGTGTGTGTATGTGTATATATATATATGTGTGTGTGTGTGTATATCTCTCTCTCTCTCTCTCTCTCTCTCTCTCTCTCTCTCTCTCTCTCTCTCTCTCTCTCTATATATATATATATATATATATATATATATATATATATATATATATATATATATATATATATACAGTCATGGCCGAAATTGTTGGCACCCTTGATATTTTTCCTGAAAATCAAGTATTTCACACAAAAAAGTATTGCATTAACACATGTTTTGCTATACACATGTTTATTCCCTTTGTATGTATTGGAACAAATATAAAACAGAGGCAGAAAAGCAAATATGACATAATGTCACACAAAACCCCAAAAATGGGCTGGACAAAAGTATTGGCACCCTTAACTTAATATTTGGTTGCACACCCTTTGGAAAACATAACTGAAATCAGTCGCTTCCTATAACCATCAATAAGCTTCTGACACCTCTCACCCGGAATTTTGGACCACTCTTCCTTTGCAAACAGCTCCAGGTCTCTCTTATTGGAAGGACAAACCTTTTCCCAACAGCAATTTTAAGATCTCTCCACAGGTGTTCAATGGGATATTTAGATCTGGGCTCATTGCTGGCCACTTCAGAACTCTCCAGCGCTTCTTTGCCATCCATTTCTGAGTGCTTTTTGACGTATGTTTGGGGTCATTGTCCTGCTGGAAGACCCAGGATCTTGGACGCAAACCCAGCTTTCTGACACTGGGCCCTACAGTGCGACCCAAAATCCTTTGATAATCCTCAGATTTCATGATGCCTTGCACACAGTCAAGGCACCCAGTGCCAGAGGCAGCAAAACAACCCCAAAATCATTGAACCCTCCACCATATTTTACCGTAGGTACTGTGTTTTGTTCTTTGTAGGCCTCATTCCGTTTTCGGTAAACAGTAGAATGATGTGCTTTACCGAAAAGCTCTATCTTGGTCTCATCTGTCCACAAGACGTTTTCCCAGAAGGCTTTTGGCTTACTCAAGTACATTTTGGCAAACTGTAGTCTTGCTTTTTTATGTCTCTGTGTCAGCAGTGGGGTCCTCCTGGGTCTCCTGCCATAGCGTTTCATTTCATTTAAATGTCGACGGATAGTTCGCGCTGACACTGATGCTCCCTGAGCCTGCAGGACAGCTTGAATGTCTTTGGAACATGTTTGGGGCTGCTTATCCACCATCCGGACTATTCTGCGTTGCAATCTTTCATCAATTTTCCTCATCCGTCCACGACCAGGGAGATTAGCTACAGTGCCATGGGTTGCAAACTTCTTGATAATGTTGCGCACTGTGGACAAAGGCAAATCTAGTTCTCTGGAGATGGACTTGTAACCTTGAGATTGTTGATATTTTGCCACAATTTTGGTTCTCAGGTCCTCAGACAGTTCTCGTCTCCTCTTTCTGTTGTCCATGCTTAGTGTGGCACAGACAGACACACAATGCAAAGGTTAAGTGAACGTCTCTCCTCCTTTTTATCTGCTTTCAGGTGTGATTTCTATATTGCCCACACCTGTTACTTGCCCCAGGTGAGTTTACAGGAGCATCACATGCTTGTAACATTCTTATTTATCCGCAGTTGTGAAAGGGTGCCAATACTTTTGTCCAGCCCATTTTTGGAGGTTTGTGTGACATTATGTCGAATTTGCTTTCTTTCCTCCCTTTTTTTGTTTTGTCCCAATACACACAAAGGGAATAAACATGTGTATAGCAAAACATGTGTTAATGCAATACGTTTCGTGAGAAATACATGATTTCCTGGAGAAATATCAAGGGTGCCAACAATTTCGGCCATGACTGTATATACACACACACACATACATTTTATATATGTATATACTATATATATATAGAGGTATGTATATATATATATAGGTATGTATGTGTGTGTGTGTGTATATATATATATATATATAATATAGAGATATATATATATATAGAGATATATATATATAATATATATATATATATATATATATATAATATATATACACACACACAGTTTTCTATATACTGTATATGTATATACATACACAGTGCTGTTAAAAAGTATTTGACCCCCTCCTGAGATTTTTTTTATTCGTGTGTTGCTTTTTGAGATCTTTTAGTGTGCTGCACTTTGTCGGACAGCTTCTATCGAAGTCATTTCTTAATTCAACAGGTCTGGCAGTAATCGGGGCCTGGGTGTGGCAAATAAAATTTAAAGCGGAGCTCCACCCAAAAAGGGGAAGTTCCGCTTTAAAAACTGGTCCCCCCCCCGCTCCCCGTGAAGGATTGGCACCTTTGGGGAGCGGGTAACCAAAATTGACGGGTACCCGCACCCACTTCCGCTGCGATCGCCTAGGCGGGTGGAAGTTGTCCCCCCCCCCTCCCCTCAGACTACAGGGCCATTCAGGAGGCGCAGTGCATCTCACTCATGCGCAGCGGGCACCAAGCTGTCACAGACGGGTGCCCATGCTGAAGATGCCAGCGCCTGGAACAGCAGACGGCTGGTGAAATGGGGCTGTGGGGGGGGGGGGTTACCAGCGACATACCTATACGTTGCTGGACTTTCGGCACTTGCACCGGAGTGATGCTTGCAGTCTCATGAACATAAAGGGCCGGCTCGGGAGCGAGCATGCATGGGTTCACTCAGCAGGTGGGAGGGGCCAGGAGCGCTAAGGGGGATCTGAGAAAAGGTGTATTGGGGCTGCTTTGTGCAAAACCATTACACAAAGCAGGTAAGTATGATGATTTTTTTTTTTTTTTTTAAAGCTTTAATATCACTTTAACCCCTTGAATTCTCTACTAGTGTGCATTGCATGCAGTTACAGAGCACTTGTAGAGCGGGCCCATTCCCTTGAATGGGTTGTTTTCAGCAGGCACTGCACAGGGGGATCATTATATTATCAATCCCATTCACATTCACTCTGCAGATGGAGAAACAAACTGTTATTTCTTCCAAAAACGGAAAGGTAGGACTGTTACAATCCCAGCAATGGATCACCCAGAGGGGGAGGGTTTTTTTTTCTCAACAAAAGTGGAGTTCCTCTTTAAGGGGGTGATCCTCCTGTTGCATTGCCACACCCGTTGATTTACCTACAGGTGTAAGTTCTGCTCCCCATAGAAAGTATATACACTCTATTACCAAATGTATTGACCCCGCTCTCCCAATCATGTGATTCAGGTGTCCCAATCCCCTCCCAATCATGTGATTCAGGTGTCCCAATCCCCTCCCAATCATGTGATTCAGGTGTTCCAATCCCCTCCATGGACACAGGTGTATACAATCAAGCCCCTAGGCATGCAGACTGCTTCTACAAACATTGGTGAAAGAATGGGACGCTCTCAGGAGCTCAGTGACTCCAAGCGTGGTCCCGTGATAGGTGGTCACCTGGCAATAAGTCCATCCGTGACATTTCCTGGCTACTAAATATTCCACGCTCAACTGTTAGTGGGATTATAACAAAGTGGAAGCAACTGGGAACAACAGCCACTCAGCCACCAAGTGGTAGGCCACGTCACATGACAGGGCGGGGTCAGCGCATGGTGAAGCGCACAGTGCGCAGAAATCACCAACTGTCTGCAGAGTCAATAGCTAAAGACCTCCAAACTTGGTGTGGCCTTCAGATGAGCCCAACAACCGTGCGTAGAGAGCTTCATGGAATGGGTTTCCATGGCCGAGCAGCTGCATCCAAGCCTTACATCACCAAGTTCAATGCAAAGCGTCTGATGCCATGGTGTAAAGCACGCCGCCACTGGATTCTAGAGCAATGGAGACGTGTTCTCTGGAGGGACCAATCACGTTTCTCTGTCTGGCAATCCGATGAATGTGTCTGGGTTTGACGGTTTCCAGGAGAACGGTACTTGCCTGACTGCATAGTGCAAAGTGCAAAGTTTGGTGGAGGGGGGATTATGGTGTGGGGTTGTTTTTCAGGAGGTGGGCTTGGCCCCCTAGTTCCAGAGAAGAGAACTCTTAAGGTAACATTTTGGATAATTTCATGCCCCCCAACTTTTCTGGGAACAGTTTTGGGGATGGCCCCTTCCTGTCCCAACATGACTGCGCACCAGTGCACAAAGCAAGGTCCATAAAGACATGGAGGAGCCAGTTTGGGATGGAGGAACTTGACTGTCCTGCACAGAGTCCTGACCTCAACCCCATAGAACACCTTTGGGATGAATTAGAGCGGAGACTGTGAGCCAGGCCTCCTCCCCCGACATCAGTGCCTGACCTGACAAATGTGCTTCTGGGAGAATGGTCCAACCTTCCCATAGACACCCTCCTAAACCTTGTGGACGGCCTTCCCAGAAGAGTTGAAGCTGTTATAGCTGCAAAGGGCGGGGCCAACTCAATACTGAACCCTACGGACTAAGACTGGGAGGCCATTAAAGTTCATGTGCGTGTAAAGGGCGGGGCCAACTCAATATTGAACCCTACGGACTAAGACTGGGAGGCCATTAAAGGTCATTTGCGTGGAAAGGCCAGCCGCTCAATATTGAACCCTACGGACTAAGACTGGGAGGCCATTAAAGGTCATTTGCGTGGAAAGGCCAGCCGCTCAATATTGAACCCTACGGACCGAAACTGGAAGGCCATTAAAGGTCATGTGCGTGGAAAGGCCGGCCGCTCAATATTGAACCCTACGGACCGAGACTGGGAGGCCATTGAAGGTCATGTGCGTGGAAAGGCCGGCCGCTCAATATTGAACCCTACGGACTGAGACTGGGACCATTAAAGGCCATGTGTGGAAAGGCCGGCCACTCAATATTGGCCTAAGACTGGGAGGCCATTAATACCATGTGCGTGGAAAGGCCGGCGGCCAATTCTTTTGTCAATATAGTGTATATGAAGCAGGACTGTTATCAGTTAGCATTGCTCCCTGTTATCTCTGTACAAAACACCTCCCCCTTTTTACGGGGGAGAGAAGGAGGTGTTCTGTAGCCCTATCACATGTATATATAATGTAAACCTTTCTCAGAAAACCAGGGCACCTTGCGGATGATCTGGAAAGTCCGCAGTGACCGTTGCATTCGATAAAGATTCCACGAAGAACAAAGCCTCCAGGACAGGGGTTGGCAGTTGTCGGGATTTTCATGTACTTTGTTCTTGACAAGCGCATCCCAAAAATACCACGTTATCTCAGCACAGACGTGGGGACCTATTAATAGGGAGTCCTGAGCCCCTCTATCTATGTGTGACAGCTGGGCCTTTATCCCTCACGTCACCGGGGTGTGAAGCTGTGCGCTCTCTCTCCCCAGGCCCGGGGACACCCTCCGTGTGTCTCTAAATCCCGAGACATCCCGTGTGTCAGAACATATGTATGTATGAATAGAATGAGCTCACAGGGGAGGAAGCGAGCACGTGAACAGGCCGGGTTTACAGGAAATTTTATGTGGGGCAGGTCTGCTCTTCACAGTGGGCTATCTGAGAAATCCCCCTCCGCAGCAATACATTTCACTTCCAGCATTGCTCCCGCGATGACGTCACCGAAACATCATCCAAAATGCTGATTTATAGACATTCCATACCTGTGCGGAGGAGTTTAGGGAGCGGTCCCGCCTTTTCTCTTCATTTGGTTTGGATAAACAGAATAGAAACGGGGTTAAATCTACTTTCGTCGGGAAAAAAAAAAAAAAAAAGCATATACAATTGCAACACAAGTGCAGAACATCCCCCCCCAAGAAATGTCATGTCCTGCTTGTGTGATTGGCTCACCGGTCTTTACAAAAGACAAGTCAGATTTCAGGTATCCCCTGCAACAAAAATTGCATTTTTGGCGTGTAAAAAAAAAAAATCACATCTAAAGGGATGCAGACCCTGCCGCTTTCCTCATTAGAGCCCTGCTGCTGATTGATCATTATAAAGTCCCTCCCGTTTGCATTCAGTCTGCACATGGACACAGACAAACAAACTATTTCTTCAGAATAACAAAAGATAGGAATCTGCAACAAAGTTAGTTACAATCTCTGTACCAGGGGAGGACTGACAACTCATGGGGCCCCCAGGGCAATAGGGGATCATGGGGCCCCTGTGTCCTTGACCACACTCAAACCACACCCAAAAAAGCCTATAAAAGGTACCAGGGGCATTTCATGGGGCCCCCTACTGACCCTGGGCCCTCGGGCAGTGCCTGAGTGCTCTAATGGTCAGTCCGCCCTTGCTTTGTACATAGATCACCCGGAGGGGAAGGTTCTCTTTTTTTTCGCAATGAAAGTGGAGTTGCTCTTTAAAGAAGAATTCCAGGAATGGATATTAATAGTTTATTGTTCCAGCTTGGACCAATGTAACTATGTCAGGGGCGGACTGATCATTCCGAGGGCCCGGGGTCAGTAGAGGGCCCCATGAGATGCCCCTGGTACCTTTCATAGGCTGTTTTGGGTGTGGTTTTAGTGTGGACGAGGACACAGGGGCCCCATGATCCCCTATTTCCCGGGGGGCCTCATGAGTTGCCAGTCCATGTCCCATGCAGAGCAGCTGCCCATCTACATTGTGAACACAGGACGTCGGCCACTGGGCCCAGGCACCATTTCATTTTCTCAATTAGTGCAATGCATTCTCTGATTGGACAAGGTGGAGAGCGTTGACGTCACTGCCACCCCCCCCCCCCCCCCCCCCCCCGCTTTTCCACCTTGCCTAAAGTCAAAATAAAAGAGAGCACCTTGACTCTCTGCAAGTCGGAATTCATTAATAATTTTGCCGTTAAACTGATTTCTTTTTTACACATACATGATAAAATCAACATATTTAGCTGGAAAAAGCACCTATTAACCTCTGAATCTATAGGCAGTGTGGAGAAATTCATCTTCAAATTTCAGGATAGACTTCCTTAAGTTGTTCCAGTTATTCTTTAAGTCTTTTGAGCTCCGTCTGTTCCCCCCTCCCAGCAACACGTTAGCAGCTCTGCTCCCCCAGGCCCCCCCCCCAGCAGTGTCTTAGCAGCTCTGCTCCCCCAGGCCCCCCCCCCCAGCAGTGTCTTAGCAGCTCAGCTCCCCCCACCCAGCAGTGTCTTAGCAGCTCAGCTCCCCCCACCCCAGCAGTGTCTTAGCAGCTCAGCTCCCCCCACCCAGCAGTGTCTTAGCAGCTCAGCTCCCCCTACCCAGCAGTGTTTTAGCAGTTCAGCTCCCCCCTTCCCCAGCAGTGTCTTAGCAGCTCAGCTCCCCCCAGCCAGCAGTGTCTTAGCAGCTCAGCTCCACCCACCCAGCAGTGTCTTAGCAGCTCAGCTCTCCCCTCCCCCAGCAGTGTCTCAGCAGCTCAGCTCTCCTTCCCCCAGCAGTGTCTCGGCAGCTCAGCTCCCCCCACCCAGCAGTGTCTTAGCAGCTCAGCTCCCCCCACCCAGCAGTGTCTTAGCAGCTCAGCTCCCCTACCCAGCAGTGTCTTAGCAGCTCAGCTCCCCTCACCCAGCAGTGTCTTAGCAGCTCAGCTCCCCCCACCCCAGCAGTGTCTTAGCAGCTCAGCTCCCCCCACCCAGCAGTGTCTTAGCAGCTCAGCTCCCCCTACCCAGCAGTGTTTTAGCAGTTCAGCTCCCCCCTTCCCCAGCAGTGTCTTAGCAGCTCAGCTCCCCCCAGCCAGCAGTGTCTTAGCAGCTCAGCTCCCCCCAGCCAGCAGTGTCTTAGCAGCTCAGCTCCACCCACCCAGCAGTGTCTTAGCAGCTCAGCTCTCCACTCCCCCAGCAGTGTCTCAGCAGCTCAGCTCTCCCTTCCCCCAGCAGTGTCTCGGCAGCTCAGCTCCCCCCACCCAGCAGTGTCTTAGCAGCTCAGCTCCCTCCACCCAGCAGTGTCTTAGCAGCTCAGCTCCCCCTACCCAGCAGTGTCTTAGCAGCTCAGCTCCCCCTACCCAGCAGTGTCTTAGCAGCTCAGCTCCCCTCACCCAGCAGTGTCTTGGCAGCTCAGCTCCCCCCACCCCAGCAGTGTCTTAGCAGCGCAGCTCCCCCCACCCGGCAGTGTCTTAGCATCTCAGCTTCCCCTACCCGGCAGTGACTCAGCAGCACAGCTCCCCCCCCACTCAGCAGTGTCTTAGCAGCTCAGCTTCCCCACCCGGCAGTGTCTTAGCAGCTCAGCTTCCCCACCCGGCAATGTCTTAGCAGCTCAGCTCCCCCCACCCAGCAGTGTCTTAGCAGCTCAGCTCCCCCCCCCACCCAGCAGTGACTCAGCAGCTCAGCTCCCCCCACCCAGCAGTGTCTTAGCAGCTCAGCTCCCCCCACCCAGCAGTGACTCAGCAGCTCAGCTCCCCCCACCCAGCAGTGACTCAGCAGCTCAGCTCCCCCCACCCAGCCGTGTCTTAGCAGCTCAGCTCAGCTCCCCCCCCCCCCCCCCGGCAGTGAGTTAGCAGCTCAGCTACCCTGCTCCCACCTCCCTGCAATAACTTAGCAGCTCATTTCCACTGCTCCCCCCTTCCAGCAGTGCCTATGCAGTTCAGCTTCCTGCTCCCCTTTCCAGCAGCGACTTAGTAGCTCATCTCTACTGCTCCCCTCCTCCAGCAGTGACTCCACAACTCCTCCTGCTAAGCCACCCATCTGTGATTTAGCAGCTTTCCGATCTCTGATGAAAAGGAACTCTGGGAAGGGGAGCAAGGTGCACTAAGCTGCTGAGAGAAGGACTGGAAAGACTTCAGTGGTCCTACTGTGATAATCCTCCTACTGAGATTAAATTGCTCCACAGTGCCTGCAGCTGCAGAGGTCAGTGAGTGTTTTTAAGGATCTTTAAAATGTTTGAAGTCAGTAATAATCTATAATTGTATTATTTTACTATATGGTTTAAGATCTGGAAGTGGCGCCTTAACCACTTCCAGTCCAGGCGCTTTCACCCCCTTCCAGTCTGGACACCCCCCCCCCCCCCCCCTTCCAGTCCAGGCGCTTTCACCCCCTTCCAGTGGACACTTTCACCCCCTTCCAGTCCGGACACTTTCACCCCCTTCCAGTCCGGACACTTTCACCCCCTTCCTGTCCGGACGCTTTCACCCCCTTCCGGTCCGGACGCTTTCACCCCCTTCCGGTCCGGACGCTTTCCCCCCCTTCCGGTCCGGACGCTTTCCCCCCCTTCCGGTCCGGACGCTTTCCCCCCCTTCCAGTCCGGACGCTTTCCCCCCCCTTCCAGTCCGGACGCTTTCACCCCCTTCCAGTCCGGACACTTTCACCCCCTTCCAGTCCGGACACTTTCACCCCCTTCCAGTCCGGACACTTTCACCCCCTTCCGGTCCGGACGCTTTCCCCCCCTTCCGGTCCGGACGCTTTCCCCTCCTTCCAGTCCGGACGCTTTCCCCCCCTTCCGGTCCGGACGCTTTCCCCCCCCCCTTCCGGTCCGGACAGTTTCCCCCCCTTCCGGTCCGGACGCTTTCTCCCCCTTCCGGTCCGGACTCTTTCACCCCCCTTCCGGTCCGGACGCTTTCACACTCCTTCCAGTCCGGACGCTTTCACCCATTTCCTGTCCGGACACTTCCCCCCCCCCCCCCCCCCAGGCCAATTTTCAGCTTTCAGCGCCATCACACTTTGAATGACAATTACGCGGTCATGCAACACTGGACCCATATTAATTTTTTAGCATTTTTTTGAGACAGATAAATCTTTATTTTGGTGGTATTTATTCACCACTGGGATGGTTTTTTTTCTTATAACATTTTGCAAATAAATAATATTTCATCATAAATCTTAGCCAAAATGTATTCAGTTATCTTTTTAGTAAAAAAAAAAAAAAGAACCCAAATTAGTTTATAACCAAAAATTATAATTTTTCTACCTTTTTTTTACTTTATTTTTTTATATTATTGACTGATGTGAATGTACAATATATGTGTAAAGCGCGGCGTAAATTGACGGCGCTATATAAGTACCTGAAATAAAATAAAAATAAATTATTTTTGGGGGGTTTTTTTGGGGGGGGGGGGGGGGGGGGGGGGGGGGGGGGGGGGGTTAACATACCATCACCCTAGCAGTACAGTGTCACCATAGTGACACTGTACTACTTGCGGGGGGGTGATGAAGATTTTTTTTTTTTTTTTTTTGCACTGATTGCTGTTACACCCATAAAAGCTGTAAAATCAATAATTTCTCCTTCTCTCTGGCTGCATTCTTGCAGCCATTGAGAATTACTGTGTGAGCTGTGATTGGTCACAGCTTGTCACATGGTACAAGGCTGTTGTGAATAGCCCTGTACTATGTGATCTCTGTGATCATTTACAGATTTCACACGTAGTAAGCAATGATGCCAGAAGTGACCTCTTGCTTACTACTATTCATGTGATCACTGATTGGCCAATCAGTGATCACATGATCAGTACAAAGGCTGTAAAAGCAATCATTTCTCCTTCTCTCTGGCTGCATTCCTGCAGCCATTGAGAATTACTGTGTGAGCTGTGATTGGTCACAGCTTGTCACATGGTACAAGGCTGTTGTGAATAGCCCTGTACCATGTGACCTCTGTGATCATTCACAGATTTCACACGTAGTAAGCAATGATGTCACAAATGACATCTTGCTTACTACTCTGCATGTGATCACTGATTGGCCAATCAGTAATCACATGATCGGGACCTCACACAGAGGTCCCTTACAGTGATTGGACACAGCAGGCAACAGATCGCTGTGCTGCGCACTCCCAGGGAGCGTGCACAAGCAGGGAAGCGGGGAGGACATTTACAAACGGCCACCCACTCCTGCACTGCTCCCGTCTGGCCATTTATATACATGAGGGGGACGGAAAGTGGTTAAAAGCCCCACCCCAACGAAGGGATTTAGTAAACAAATTCTTTGGGGACGCGGTGCCATTGGTTGCCCCTTGCACCCCAAAGTCTGGTTTTACTTCTTAGGAATATGTAGATATTTGAATGTCCACAGTCTAGCCACGGCTTCACTTTCGGCTGAACCTGGACTTCAATTTTTCTGGTGTTCTAACCTTGCTAAAAGGTGCGCAAAGTCTTCTTATTTTTTTTCTTTATAAAGCAGCCACGGCTTGGGTGAAAAATCCAATTCCTGTCATCTGCAGAGAAGAAGCCTTGAACTCCGTGTGGAAGCAGCGGTCTCTCTACAGAGATCCCATACACCCTCTGCTGGGCCAGAGCTAGAGCTTAATAATCAAAGCGCATGCTCCCTAGAAAGATCAACATCTGACGTAGCAGGGGGCAGGCTCATACCTATGCAGAGAGACCACTGCTTCCACACTGGGTGCAAGGGTCCTTCTGTGAACCATGCAAGCAGGAGACAGGAGTTTCTACTCAGGCTGTGGCTACTGTCGATTGAATGGCCAGCTGCAGGCTGCCTGTTTGTCCCTATCAGGGGCGGACTGACCATTTGGAAACTCGGGCCCCCCCCCCCCCCATCACAGTGTCCCACAGTTCCTGCAGGGCCCTACAGTTTCCAACATTGCCCCTGAAAACCCCCCAGTATCCTGGACTCTTTCCCCACAGTTGGATCCAGCTCCGTCACTGAACCTCAACCCCTACAAGGTCACCAAGTCTGCTGCATGGTCCCTAACCTCCCACAATGCTTTTTACCTCCTCCCCCTTGTGCCCCCCCAACCTTCCATAATGGCCTGCATTGCTCCACAACTTCCCACTGTGCCCTTAGACCACATGTGAACCCTCAGCACCCACAGGGCCACCCTACAGTGCCCCCTCACTTACCACACAGCCTCCAGCCCACCGCTCCCGCTTCCCGACCCCCAACACTGTTCCCCAGCCACTGTAGGACCCTACTTTCTCCTACATTGCCCCTGAAAACCCCCCAGCATCCTGGACTCTTTCCCCACAGTTGGATCCAGCTCCCTCACTGAACCTCAACCCCTACAAGGTCACCAAGTCTGCTGCATGGTCCCTAACCTCCCACATTGCTTTTTACCTCCTCCCCCTATTGCCCCCCAACCTTCCATAATGGCCTGCATTGCTCCACAACTTCCCACTGTGCCCTTAGACCACATGTGACCCTCAGCACCCACAGTGCCACCCTACAGTGCCCCCTCACTTACCACACAGCCTCCAGCCCACCGCTCCCGCTTCCAAACCCCCAACAGTGCTCCCCAGCCACTGTAGGACCCTACTTTCTCCTACATTGCCCCTGAAAAGCCCCCAGACTCCTGTAGAGACCCCATCCCCAAAGTTTTCCCTCCAGCAGGGGCGGATTGACCATTTGGAAACAACAGTAACCACCAATGTAATAAGGCACTATAGTGGCCACCAGTGTAGGGGGAGCACTACATTGACCATCAGTGTAAGAGGACTCCAAAATGACTACCAATGTAAGGGGGTTTTTGTGCTAGACAGCACCCGCCAAGTCCACATCCAACACTTTGTCATGAATTGGTTGGTTGCTGACTGGCGGACTGACCATTTGGAAACTCGGGCACTGCCCTAGGGCCCGGGGTCAGTAGGGGGCCCCATGAGATGCCCCTGGTACCTTTTTCATAGGCTTTTTTGAGTTTGGGCAAGGACACAGGGGCCCCATGATCCCCTATTGTCCGGGGGCCCCATGAGTTGTCAGTCCGCCCCTGGTCCCTATGGATTCGCTCCCTCTTTAGCCGAGGCGGCGAGATGTCGCTCCCATTGCCAGCAATCAAGATTCAGCAATGGATAACTCTGCTGAACTGTCGTGGTCGCCCGTGCATTCTTTCCCGTAACATTGATTGCAAACATGTTTCTGCTGCTGTAGTAATTTGGGCCAATCCCCTCTGGTTGCCGCAGGACAAAAGCAGCCAACCCTCCGCTGAACGAGAACTTTTTTCCTAGAACGAAGCCAAAAAAATTTGAAGTGTATGAAAACTGCACAAATGTGAAGGATGTTGTAGGGCTGTACCTTTGACAACCTTGGCAGCTTCCATCGGAGGGTCAATGGGCACATCATTGTCCATGCTTCACAGATTTATAGACTTTTAATCAGGGCGAGGTAGGGAGTCTGTTTCCTGGCCGGGACCGCAGTCTGTGGATTTTCGGAAGGTGAAGATTTTAATAACTGTGTGCGACCTCTGAACTCCGTGCGTGTTCCAGGCGTCCCGAGAGTTCTCTGTGCTTTAGAAAAGCTGAAGCAGCAAATGTGATCAGATGGTGGTTTTTCACCATTTGTTTCTCATCTTTGTGAAGCCTGGCTTGTGAAGCTGGACTGGGGCCACATAGCAGACACAAAGGACGCCTTATGATGGGTGAGAGAGAGAGCGCAACAAAACCCCTTCAATGTCTGAGACCCAGCACAGACCAAGGTGACCTGTGAGGACTCTGATTTCTCAGCACTTTGGATGGAAGTTCAGCTCACAGAGGGAGACATGAAAACTTGGAACAAAACCTCAGGACACCTGCAATGGAAAAAAGGATAGGATGGTCTCCCGATGGTCTCCTTCTGAAAATGATAGTTGCCTGTCTGGTTTTGGCTTCAATACTCTATAGCAGCTTTCTCAAACTCTTTACCCCAGAGGAACCCCTAAAAAATGTTTCAGTGTAGCACTGTGCTAGTTAGGTTGCTAGGTTAGGCAAATATAGTTTGGCTTCTCTGTAGACCATGGGTGTCAAACTGGCGGCCTTCCAGCTGTTGCCAAACTACAAGTCCCAAGATTAAAAGTTACAAGCAAGACTCCCGAAGGCAGAGGCATGATGGGACTAGTAGTTTTGCAACAGCTGGAGGGCCGCCAGTTTGACACCACTGCTGTAGACAGAGGAGCAAGTTGGTTGCTTTTGGATGTTCTGGGTTGGATGGCTTCTCTGTAGACCAGGGGTGTCAAACTGGTAGCCTTCCAGCTGTTGCCAAAATACAAGTCCCGTGAGGCATTGCAAGATTAACAGTTACAAGCAAGACTCCCGAAGGCAGAGGCATGATGGGACTAGTAGTTTTGCAACAGCTGGATGGCCGCCAGTTTGACACCACTGCTGTAGACAGAGGAGCAAGTTGGTTGCTTTTGGATGTTCTGGGTTTCACAGGTTGCAAATTTTAATGGCTCCTCCCTGCATTCCAGAACTCTTTGGGAGGTTCTGGAGCATAAGTGTGGAGTAATCAGGTGGACAGCCTGGATATTTGTACAGCCTCCGCCAATCCCTGGTCAGGAGCAGGGGCGGACTTACCATTTAGCCACTCGGGCACTGCCCGCGGGCCCGGGGTCAGTAGGGAGCCCCATGAGATGCCCCTGGTACCTTTCATAGGCTTTTTTGGGTGTGGTTTGAGTGGGTGAGGACGCTGGGGCCCCATGATTTCCTATTGCCCGGGGGGCCCATGAGTTGTCAGTCCGCCCCTGGTCAGGAGGGTGACCTGCAGGGGGCAGAGGCATGCATAAATAGCCTGGGACCTAGAACAGCATGTAGACAGGTGCGTTCTCTGTTCTCCACTGTAGGCCGAAGCAGTATTGCAGCTGGAGAAGTCAAGAGAAACTAATTTCTTTATGGTTTCCTTGGTCCCCTGAGGCAGCTTCAATTTGCTATGCTACATCCAGGTGAACCTGGTGGCCATCTTGGGTCAGCAGAGCCTTTTTAAGTGCCTGTCCCTGGGCTTTGGCGCACATTTTTCAAGTGGATAGTGTAGGGACCGATCTCCCATGTGGTAGGGAAAGATTCCGGACGAACAGAGACAGGCTAGGGACATGCCATCCTGCATCAGAATCCTTCCCATTGGACTCAGACTGGCCAGGCTGCATTCCACCCTTGGAGACAGACGCTGACGGTGCATCAGAACCTGCTAGACTCTACAAGTTTGCACAGAACAGAGTGTTCCCAGCTGGGTGCTTTGCCACTGGGCTGTTCCCTCAATACACGTTTTCGTATTTGCAGTTGGGCTCCGTGTGTTTACTGCAGCCTCATTACATTGCACCTACCCACAAACAGGGTCCTTTGCCTGTTGGAGAGAGACCCAACCTGGAGGGGCTGTCTGCCCTACTGGACAGGTGGCTCAGCGGGGTCCCAGCTAAGTCAAAGCTGGAGGACCAATTCCTAAAAGTGAGAAGAAAAGTCTGCAGAGGATCTGGCCGAGAGGTGAACGGTACAGGGTCTGACTGATACTTGGAGGCATCCATGTATACAGGGACACAGTGAGGAAAGGCCTGATAGAACTCTTGAAGAGACTGTTGCTTTGTTAGGCTCTTTTTGTGAGAGACTGTTCCAGAGTTGCTGGCTCGGACGAAGGGGCAGACTGACCATTTGGAAACTCGGGCACTGCCCAAGGGCCCGGGGTCAGTAGGGGGCCCCATGATATGCCCCTGGTACCTTTTTCATAGGCTTTTTTGAGTTTGGGCAAGGACACAGGGGCCCCATGAACCCCTATTGCCCGGGGGCCCCATGAGTTGTCAGTCCGCCCCTGCTCGGACGTGTTTAAAGTGTAGGATCCCCCTGAAGCTGAATGTCCACACTCTAACACTAGAGGACTACTTTTAAGAAGTTAGTTCCGTTAGAGAGTGTCCTCGGTTCAAGTTGCACTAGTTCTGGAGTATCCCAAGGTTCACACTATTCCCCATCCCAGTTCTTCAACCAATAAACCCCAGAAACATCTGCCTGGTTATTGAGTGGAGAGATGTTGAAACTGCCTGGCTGCTGTGCACCTATAGGGAGTAGAACCTAGGACAAACAACAACAGGACCAGTTTGGGGTCTGCGCTTTTGATTTTGAGGGAACACTTACCAAAACCACTTTTTGGGGGGTTAATGGCAAAAATGCCCTACATGCATTAGTGGTTAATAGAAAAAAATGGAACCTTTTCAGTGGTGGTCTGAATGCCACCCTTACAGACAGGTGATTGGTACCATGCTACTGTCAGGAATGGACTCGCCAATGGTGGTGGGACTCACCTGCCTTGTGGGCTGCAGTACCAAGGCTGGCCAGCGGGTGCTCTCAGCAGCCAGAATCTCACTCCTGCAATCAGGCCATCACCTGAGGCTGATTGCAGGAGGTGTATTTAAGCAGGGCCAGGCCTGTGATCAGTGCCTTGGTGTATGTTTCCCATGAGCCCCTGTACCTGCATCCTGTCTGCTTCCTGCCTGATCCTGACTATGAACCTGACTCTGAACGAACTCCGCCTTTCCTGACCTCGGCTATTCCTGACCACTCTTCCACTCGCTCCTGGTACCCTGTTTGCCCGTTGGCTACCGACCCGGCCCGCCTGACTACGTTGTGCTCCATATATATATATACATATACATATATATATCAGTTTTGGTTTGGGTTTGTTTCACCTTGTTGTATGTATTTGTGTTAGTTTTTGGGTTTGGTTTGTTGCACTGCGTTTATGTTTGTGTTGTCCTTAATAAATTATCTTGTTTACACGCTATACCTGAAGTCTGTGTTTTCCCTGTGTCGGTCCACACACCTCTGGTCATTCCCGGAGCCCTGACAGCTACTGGCTAGGCCAAGGAACTATGCAGGCATCATCAAATGGGGGGTAAATTGCCCACAGCTTAAGGAACTCCTAGCAATGTTTGGAGGAACCCTAAGGTTCTATAGAACCACGGCTGAGAATGGCTTCTCTAGAGTAACAGAACCAGAGCATGTATGGAGATGAAGCAAGTAAAAGTTGGAGGCAAGCCAGAATTTCTTATCTCTGTACTGGTCAGTAACTCCGAAAGTGTTTAAAGCTGAACTCCAGACCAACTGAAAACGGCACAGTCAACATACACATATAGCAGCTTTTTTTGTTCTGCCAGAATATTTGTATTTCTGCGCTGCCCATCCTTCTCCCAGTCTTAGTGCTGCTGTATAAAGTAGAAATGTAAAGTGATGATTGTACCAATAGCTAAACTATATACTGCTATGGTTTTATCCCTGTAGTCACATAGGGGCCAGTAGTTCGAATTGTGGAGAATAGCGGAGGACCAGACCTATGACACACCTGTTGTATTTTTATATATCTTAAAATGTTTTCTTTAAGTGCCTTATTTCCATCATTCCGACTGACATGTAACATTTGACTGTGGCTGTGTGAAGCCTGTTGCATTACCTTACACCATGGTTTTCCCGTAGTGGTCAATATTGACCTTCCAGGGTCAATGTGATTATCCAAGGTGCCGATAAAATTGCTGGGGGTCAGCAAATGTCAGGGGGTCAAAAGGTGGTCGATAAATGATGGAAGGTCAATCGGGGTCAATTAATCTATTGAGGTTTCTTTAGAACTTCAGGCCAGTCACTAGTCTTGAAGGTGAGATGGTTGGCGGTAAGAAAGAGTGCTACACAAGGTTGGTTGGTGACCGTGCGTTGTTACTGGACTTGTTTGCCAGCATTTTATAGGGTGTGTTTCTGTGACCTTCAACTTGCCCCCTTCTGGGGAGAATATATGTATGTGCTCACGTGAGTACACCCACCTTAACAGGTCAGTGGGCACACCCACCTGTTGGAAAGTCAGTGAGTACACCCACCTGTTGGAGAGTCAATGAGTACACCCACCTGTTGGAGAGTCAATGAGTACACCCACCTGTTGGAGAGTCAATGAGTACACCCACCTGTTGGAGACTCAATGAGTACACTCACCTGTTGGAGAGTCAGTGAGTACACTCACCTCAAGCTCTGTTGGAGAGCCATTAAGTACACCCACCTCAAGAGGAAAGCCAGTGAGTACACCCACCTCAAACTACGTTGGAGAGCCAGTGAGTAGACCCACCTCAAACTTTGGGAGTCAGTAAGTACACCCACCTCAAACTCTGTTGCAGAGCCATTGAGTACCCCATCCTCAAACTATGTTAGGGCCAGTGAGTGCACCCACCTCAAATTTTGTTGGAAAGCCAATGAGTACACCCACCTCAAACTCTGTTGGAAAGCCAGTGAGTACACTCAACTGCAACTATGTTGGTGAGCCAGTGAGTGTACCCAGCTCAACCTCTGTTGGGGAGCCAGTGAGTGCAGCCACCTCAACCTCTGTTGGAAAGCCAGTGAGTACACCCACCTCAAACTATGTTGGAGAGCCAGTGAGTAGACCCACCTCAAACTTTGGGAGTCAGTAAGTACACCCACCTCAAACTCTGTTGTAGAGCCATTGAGTACCCCATCCTCAAACTGTGTTAGGGCCAGTGAGTGCACCCACCTCAAATTTTGTTGGAAAGCCAATGAGTACACCCACCTCAAACACTGTTGGAAAGCCAGTGAGTACACTCAACTGCAACTATGTTGGTGCGCCAGTGAGTGTACCCAGCTCAACCTCTGTTGGGGAGCCAGTGAGTACACTCAATTGCAACTATGTTGATGAGCCTATGAGTGTACCCAGTTCAACCTCTGTTGGAGAGCCAGTGAGTGCAGCCACCTCAACCTTTGTTGGAAAGCCGTTGAGTACACCCACCTCAAACTCTGTTGGAGAGCCATTGAGAACACCGACCTCAAACTGTGTTAGGGCCAGTGAGTGCACCCACCTCAAACTTTGTTGGAAAAGCACCTCAAACTCTGTTGAAGAGATAGTGGGTGGACCCACATCAACCTCTTTTGGAAAGCTAGTGAGTACACCAACCTCAAACTATGTTGGGCCAGTGAGTGCAACCATCTCCAACTCTGTTGAAGAGCCAGTGGGCGCACCCACCCCAACCTCTGTTGGAAAGCCAGTGAGTACACCCAACTCAAACTATGTTTGGAGGACCAGTGAGTGAAACCAACTCAACCTCTGTTGGAAAGCCAGTGAGTACACCCAACTCAAACTATGTTGGAGGACCAGTGAGTGAAACCAACTCAACCTCTGTTGGAAAGCCAGTGAGTACACCCAACTGAAACTATGTTGGTGAGCCAATGAGTTTACCCACCTCAGTATCTGTCGGAGAGCCAGTGAGTACCTCCATAGTGATATGAGTGGTGCCAAAGAACTGATTGCTGTGCGTTAATAAAAACTCATCATTGTAACAGCCATAATGGCGGGGAGTGACGACCGTATTCTGTAGAATAATATCTATTTTAATATTACTCGTAGTACAATACTATTATTTAAAGCAGTATTCATTCATTTATTTTCATATAGTAGATGTTCTTGAGGTCAACGAACAATCTGAAACTTTAGGAAAAGGTCGACCAGTTGAAGAGTTTTGGGACCCCAGCTCTAATCCGAGAGAATTGATGTGCCGGTGAAGAGCACTGGAAGGCCAATAGCTTCCTATCCTTTTTTTAGAATAACATTTCCTCTGTAATTACCTACTTTGTTCCAATTAACCTTGCCGACTTGTGTCATACATGAAAGGAACGTGGCCTGTGGCTTTGTGTATACTTGTGTTGACAGAAGTATTTGTTGACTTACACTATCATCTGTATGAAGTGTAGGTGGTAGATTATTCCATCGGAATTGCTCGCACTGTTAATTTTACTTCTACTACTAGGAAGAGATGACGTCGCATTGACAAACTCCTTTCTGATGATGTTGACTTAACATTGGAGTGTTGACTTTGGGCAAGGCGGAATAGCAATTTGTACAAGGGCCAATGTTTGTTCTTCAGTAGATGTAAAACAAATACTGCTTAATTTATTATATGAAAAAAAAAAATTGTAAATATTTGCTTCTAGGCTAAGTGCCCTATTGCCAAAAGGGAGCAGATCTGAAAGAGTTTAGTGGTTTCTCAACCAGGGAGCCATTTTGCTCCCCCAGCGATACGGTGCTGCGACCAGAATTCTCTGTATTATTTCTTGGCCAGGCCGCCAGCTCCATGGAACTGCATGATGCTAATCCAGGGTGGGTGGGGGGCGTTCAGGGCAGCCCCAGCATCCAGAAGGTGATGGAAGTTCACTCCCATCCAGGGGAGGACTGACCATTTAGAAACTCGGGCACTGCCCAAGGGCCCGGGGTCAGTAGGGGGCCCCATGAGATGCCCCTGGTACCTTTTTCATAGGCTTTTTTGAGTTTGGGCAAGGACACAGGGGCCCCATGATCCCCTATTGCCCAAGGGCCCCATGAGTTGTCAGTCCGCCCCTGCTCCCATCCAGACCTGCTCTGCCTCTTGCCCACTGCCATAGTTGCACTGTGATGTAGATTGAAAGGAAGGACTGTGATGTGAAGGACTCAGAATCCTGTTGTGAAGGGCAGGGTGCAATTGAGGATTTTGGTGTCAGGGGCGGACTGACAACTCATGGGGCCCCCGGGCAATAGGGGATCATGGGGCCCCTGTGTCCTTGCCCAAACTCAAAAAAGCCTATGAAAAAGGTACTAGGGGCATCTCATGGGGCCCCCTACTGACCCCGGGCCCTTGGGCAATGCCTGAGTTTTCAAATGGTCAGTCCGCCCCTGTTTGGTGTACAGGTTGGGGTGGACTGAGGACTCTGATGTGAAGGGCAGGGGGAAGTGAGGACTCTGATATGAAGGGTGGATGGGGGGGGGCTGAGGACCCTGATATAAAAGATGAAGAACTGAGAGTTAAAGGCAGCGGGATTGAGGACTTTGATGTGAAAGGGAGGACTGGGGACTCTGATCTGAAAGGGGGGAACTGAGAACTCTGCCACTGGGGGAACTGAGGACTCTAATGTGAAAGGGGGATGGGGAACTTGGAACTCTGATGTTAAAGGTATACTCTGATGTGAAAGGGAGGAACTGGAGACTGTAACGTGAATTGGGGGGGAACTGATGAGGACTCTGATGCAGGGGCGGACTGATATCTCATGGGGCCCCCGGGCAACAGGGGATCATGGAGCCCCTGTGTCCTCACCCACACTCAAACCACACCTAAAAAAGCCTATGAAAGGTACTAGGGGCATCTCATGGGGCCCCCTACTGACCCTGGGTCCTCGTGCAGTGCCCGAGAACCTGTATGGTCAGTCCGCTCCTGCTCTAATGTTAAAGGCAGTGGGATCGGGTACTCTGATGTGAAAGGGAGGAACTGAAGACTCTAATATGAAAGAGGGATGAGGAACTTGGGACTCTGATGGTAAAGATGGCGGGATCAAGAATTCTTTTAAGAAAAGGAAGGACTGGGGCCTCTGATGTGAAAGAGGAATTGGGGAACTTAGGACTTCGATGTTAAAAGCAATGGAATCGAGGACTCGTGAAGGAAGGATTGGGGGGGATTGAGGACTTTGATGTTAAAGAAGGATGAAGAACTGAGGGCTAAAGGCAGTAGGATTGAGGACTCTGATGTGGGGGGGGGGGGGGGAACTGAGGACTCTGACATGGGGAAACTAAGGACTCTGATGTGGAGGAACTGAGGATGCGAAAGAGGAATGGGGGACCCGGAATTCTGTTGTTCAAGGTAGTGGGATAGAGGTCTAGATGTGAAAGGGAGGACTGGGGACTTTGATGTGAAAAGGAGAAATTGAGGACTCTGACATGGGGGGACTGAGGACTTCGATGGCGAGCGGAGATGGGCCTCTTCAGCAAGCTCCCTGGGCAGCGAATGAGAGACATGAAGGTCTGGAGCAATGCTCTATCTTTGCAATGCTGAACAAACGTTATGTTTTTATTAAACAAACCCTTAGAATGCATCTAAGTCCCTGAACCTGAAAGCAGCCTGTTCCCTCTGCACTGTGGCCCTCCAAGTGCAAGAAGGAGCGTCATCGGCCAATCAGGCTTTGCCGCTTGCACATATGCTGACAATGACCATAGAGATACGAGGAGAGAGCGGAGTAAGCAGACTGACGGCTTGTCATTCCTTCGTTGTATAGTCAGCAACCAACCAATTCATGACAAAGTGTTGGATGTGGACTTGGCTGGGCTGTCTAGCACAAAAACCCCCTTACATTGGTAGTCATTGTGGAGTCCTCTTACACTGATGGTCAATGTAGTGCTCCCCCTACACTGGTGGCCACTGTAGTGCCTTATTACATTGGTGGTCACTGTTGTGCCCCCGTACATTGGTAGCCAGTGAACAAGTGCCTTTACGTTGATGGTCATTGTAGTGTCCATTGACATTGATGGCCTGATGAAAAATGGACTTGTTACTTTTGTGGCCAGTGGAAAGGTTTCACCTTACAAAAAGTGGAAAAGCGGTCCCTTCCATTGGTGGTCTTTTATATTGGTGGTCATTGGAGAAGTGCCCCTTCCCTTGCTGGTCAGTGGGTGATGGGTTCCATTACGTTGGTGGCCAGTGAGAAAAAAAGAAGACCCATTACTTTGGTATTCAGTGAGAAGAATGTCCCTTACATTGGTGGCCAGTGGGAAGAATGTCCCTTACAAGTGGGAAGAATGTCCCTTACATTGGGGGTCGGTGGGAAGAATGTCCCTTACATTGGGGGTCGGTGGGAAGAATGTCCCTTACATTAGGGGTCAGTGGGAAGAATGTCCCTTACATTGGTTGTCAGTGGGAAGAATGCTCCTTACATTGGTGGTCAGCGGGAAGAATATCCCTTACATTGGTGGTCAGTGGGAAGAATGTCCCTTACATTGGTGGTCAGTGGGAAGAATGTCCCTTACATTGGGGGTCAGTGGGAAGAATGTCCCTTACATTGGTGGTCAGTGGGAAGAATGTCCCTTACATTGGTTGTCAGTGGGAAGAATGCCCCATGCATTGATGGTCAGTGGGAAGAATGTCCCTTACATTGGAGGTCAGTGGGAAGAATGTCCCTTACATTGGAGGTCAGTGGGAAGAATGTCCCTTACATTGGGGGTCAGTGGGAAGAATGTCCCTTACATTGGGGGTCAGTGGGAAGAATGTCCCTTACATTGGTTGTCAGTGAGAAGAATGTCCCTTACATTGGAGGTCAGTGGGAAGAATGCCCCTTCATTGGTGGTCAGTGGGAAGAATGTCCCTTACATTGGTGGTCAGTGGGAAGGATGCTCTTTACATTGGTGGTCAGTGAGAAGAACGTCTCTTAGGCTATGTTCACACTAGTGTTGTGTGCAGGCGGCAGAGAGGTTTTGGGAAGCGTTTTTTACCGCTTCCCAAACGCCTCTGCCAATTCTGCACATTACAGCACATGGTGCTGTTCTAACGGGAGCGTTTGCGTTGCGTGGCGGCAAAACGGACGCCTCTGGTCGAGTCAGGAGGCATTGAAGCCTCCTATTCTAGTCTATGGTGCCACTCCTAGACGCGGTTGTGGGGCGTTTGCGGAGCGGTAACACCATTCAAACTGCATTATAGGCGTTTGTGGGGCCTTTTTATCGCTCGACAAACACCTAGCAACCTCCGCTAAACCACGCATGCGGCGTTTGCGGAGCGTTAAAAAAACGCTCCGCAAACGCCGGACCAACGCTTGCCAAACGCTATAGGGGCGTTTGGCAAGCGTTGGTAAAACAGCCAAGTGGTATTCATTGGGAAGAACGCCTCTTTTACAGACACCTAATGAGATTGTTAGGTGATTGTTGCACCTGATAGAGGGAAATATTTCACTGAACCCGCTCTGCTGGGTCTGCCGAGAGATACCATCACCAAAACTATGCAAACTCATCAATACTTCCCCGTAACACCAGCACCTTGGGTGGACTGCACCCACCACCCCTACCTTGGTTCCTCAGCTACCTGGAGTTTAACGTAAAGTTCTGTTATGGACATTACCCCACTAACATGTTATGTAGTCCTCATGGCCAAAAGGCAGGTGCCTGCCCATAAATATGTTCATACGTGTTACCTTGGCATGTTGGAGTTGAGCTGGTTCCAACCACCAAAATAAATCAAACTAAAAACGTTATCTGAGATAATGCGCTGGGATTTGTGCTTCAGCTCCTGCAGGGGCCCCCGTAACACCATCTCCCTCGCCTGCTCGGCTCTGTGCGCCTCCACCCATCAATCAGTACGATTTAGCGGAGGGGTGGGCTGAACCTTCTGAAGGTCTAATTTATGGAAAGCATCTGATATGCATAATTGGTGCTAAAGCGGACGAATGGTTACATTTAGTGTTTTTAACAACTATTTTTTAAACAGTCTGAAGCGATTGCTTTTTAATGAGCCTGGAATGATTTACGCCAAACCTGTGCGATTCAGACTGAGAATGAACAATGCCTAAGCAGGGGTTGCGGTCAATGAAAACCGCATGTCAAAACAATCTGTAGATCCAGACGTTTCCTCAAAGAAAAGGTTGTTTGGCCCTGCCCCATCCTGCCTATTATTTCTACCATTGGTTGCCCAAGTAATAGGCAGCCTCGGTGACCAATAATGAGGCCCAGTTGGTGGAAGCTCAGCTTTTTGCTGGAAAAGTGTATATAACTGTTTAAAACTTTGCTTCTACGGATTGTTTAGATACGTGGTTTTCACTCGAGGCGACCTCTGCTTATGCGTTTTGTTTAACCATGTGCTCGATTTGAATTGCTCCAGCACAGCCCTTCTGAAACTATTTGTCTCAGAGGAAGGCTGGAAACTTTTTTCAGGTCTTGGGAAACCCCCAATAAATTGGAGGTCAGTGGAAAAATGTTCCTTACATTGGTGGCTAGTTGGAAGAATGCCCTTTGCTTTGATGGTTATTGGGAAGAAAGCCCCTTTACATTGGTGGTCAGTGGGAAGAATGCTCCTTACACTGGTGGTCAGTGGGAAAGAATGTCCTTTACATTGGTGATTAGTGGGAAGAATGTCCCTTACATTGGTGGTCAGTGGGAAGAATGTCCCTTACATTGGTGGTCAATGGGAAGAATGCTCCTTAAATTGATAAACATTTGGAAGAATGCTTCTTACATTGGTGGTCAATGGGAAGAATGCTTCTTATGTTGGTCGCCAGTGGGAAGAAGGCTTCCTACATTGGTGGCAGTGGCAGAATTGCACCTTACATTGGTGGTCACTGGGAAGAATCCACCTTTCGTTGGTGGCCAGTGGGAAAAATGTTGATTATGTTGGTCACCAGAGGGAAGAATACCTCTTAAATTAGTGGTCATCTGGAAGAATGCTCCTTACAATGGTCATCAGTGGGAAGAATGTCCCTTACATTGGTTGCCAGTGGCAAGAAGGCTTCTTACATTTGTGCACGGTGGGAAGGATGCTTCCTGCATTTTTGGACAGTGACAAGAATGCACCTTACATTGGTGGTCAGTGGGAAGAATGTCCCTTACATTGGTGGTCAGTGGGAAGAATGTCCCTTACATTGGTGGTCAGTGGGAAGAATGCTCCTTACATTGGGGTCAGTGGGAAGAATGCCCCTTACATTGGTGATCAGTGGGAAGAATGCCCCTTACAGTTGCAAGAAAAAGTATGTGAACCCCTTGGGATTACGTGGAGTTTTGCATGAATTGGGCATAAAATGTGCTCTGAACGTCATCTAAGTCACAACAATAGAAGAACGCAGTCTGCTGAACATAATACTACACAAACATTAGATGTTGCCATGGTTTAATTGCACATAACAGGTAAACATTCACAGTGCAGGGAGGAAAAAGTATGTGAACCTTTTGACTTAATAACTGGTTGACCCTCCTTTGGCAGCAATAACCTCAACCAAACGTTTCCTGTAGTTGCAGATCAGACCTGCACAACGATCTGGAGTCATTTTGGACCACTCCTCTTCACAAAGCTCTTTCAGTGTAGCAATATTCTTGGGATGTCTGGTGTGAATCGCTCTCTTAAGGTCATGCCACAGCATTTCAATCGGGTTGAGGTCAGGACTCTGACTGGGCCACTCAAGAAGGCGTATTCTGTGCTGTTGCAGCCATTGTTTTGTTGAATTACTTGTATGCTTTGGGTCATTGTCCTGCATCACCCATCCTCTGCGGAGCTTCAGTTGGCGGACAGATGGTCGAATACGTTTTCCTGCAAAATGTCTTGATAAACTCTGGAATTCGTTTTCCCATCAATGACAACAATCCGTCCAGGCCCTGAGGCAGCAAAGCAGCCCCAAACCATGATGCTCCCTCCGCCATGTTTCACAGTGGGGATGAGGTTTTTGATGTTGGTGTGCTGTGCCTTTTTTCTCCACACATAGTGTTGTGTGTTCTTCCCAAACAACTCAATCTTGGTTTCATCTGCCCACAGTATATTTTGCCAGTAGTGCTGTGGAACATCCAGGTGCTCTTTTGCAAACTTCAAACGTGCTGCAATATTCTTTTTGGACAGCAATGGCTTCCTCCGTGGTGTCCTCCCATGTACTCCATTCTTGTTTAATGTTTTCCTTATTGTAGATGTGTCAACAAAAATGTTAGCATGTGCCAGAGATTTCTGTAGGTCTTTAGCTGACACTCTGGGATTCTTCTTTACCTCCTGAAGCATTCTGCGCTGTGCTCTTGCAGTCATTTTTACAGGATGACCAAGCCTAGGGAGAGTAGCAACAGTGCTAAACTTTCTCCATTTGTAGACAGTGTGTCTTACCGTGGACACATGAACATCAAGGCTTTTGGAGATACTTTTGTAACCCTTTCCAGCTTCATGCAAGTCAACAATTCTTGATCGTAGGTCTTCTGAGAGCTCTTTTCTGCGAGGCATGGTTCACATCAGACAGTGCTTCTTGAAACCAGTAAACCCAAAACAGGTGTGTGTTTTTTAAGGGCAGGACAGCTGTCAGCAACACATCCAATATCATCACACTGATTGGAGTCAAGGTTGGCTCACTCCTGGCTCCAATTAGCTCTGGGAGAAGTCATTAAGCTAGGGCCTCACATACTTTTTCCTCCCTGCACTGTGAATGTTTACATGTTATGTGCAATTAAACCATGGCAACATCTAATGTTTGTGTAGTATTATGTTCAGCAGACTGTGTTCTTCTATTGTTGTGACTTAGATGACGTTCAGAGCACATTTTATGCCCAATTCATGCAAAACTCCACGTAATCCCAAGGGGTTCACATACTTTTTCTTGCAACTGTACATTGGTGGTCAGTGGGAAGAATGCTCCTTACATTGGGGGTCAGTGGGAAGAATGCCCCTTACATTGGTGGTCAGTGGGAAGAATGCTCCTTACATTGGGGGTCAGTGGGAAGAATGTCCCTTACATTGGTGATCAGTGTGAAGAATGCTCCTTACATTGGTGATCAGTGTGAAGAATGCTCCTTACATTGGTGATCAGTGGGAAGAATGCCCCTTACATTGGGGGTCAGTGGGAAGAATGCCCCTTACATTGGGGGGTCAGTGGAAAGAATGTCCCTTACATTGGTGGTCAGTGGGAAGAATGTCCCTTACATTGGTGATCAGTGGGAAGAATGTTCCTTACATTGGTGGTCAGTGGTAAGAATGTCCCTTACATTGGTGATCAGTGGGAAGAATGTCCCTTACATTGGTGATCAGTGGGAAGAATGTTCCTTACATTGGTGGTCAGTGGTAAGAATGTCCCTTACATTGGTGATCAGTGGGAAGAATGTCCCATACATTGGAGGTCAGTGGGAAGAATGTCCCTTACATTGGTGGTCAGTAGGAAGAATGTCCCTTACATTGGGGGTCAGTGGGAAGAATGCCCCTTACATTGGTGGTCAGTGGGAAGAATGCCCCTTACATTGGTGGTCAGTGGGAAGAATGCTCCTTACATTGGGAGTCAGTGGGAAGAATGCCCCTTACATTGGTGGTCAGTGGGAAGAATGCTCCTTACATTGGGGGTCAGTGGGAAGAATGTCCCTTACATTGGGGGTCAGTGGGAAGAATGTCCCTTACATTGGTGGTCAGCGGGAAGAATGCTCCTTACATTGGGAGTCAGCGGGAAGAATGTCCCTTACATTGGGGGTCAGTGGGAAGAATGTCCCTTACATTGGTGGTCAGTGGGAAGAATGTCCCTACATTGGTGATCAGTGGGAAGAATGTCCCTTACATTGGTGATCAGTGGGAAGAATGTCCCTTACATTGGTGATCAGTGGGAAGAATGTTCCCCTTACAGTGGTTGTCAGAATGCAACTCCGACTCTAACAAACGGCATTAGCCCTGGAACTATGCAGGCACCATTAAATAGGAGGTCAATCAGCCACAACTCGAGGAATCAAACTCGGGAGGATCACCGATTGAGAACGTCAGGTTTGCTTTCAGTACAGCAAGATACTTCTATCATTCCAGTAGTATTCTAAACCCCTAAATCATCTTTTGCATCCGTCTGCCTATGTAGTACCTTCTCTGTAAGAGAATGTTCAAAAGCTGTCAGCACAGGGCAGTCCTAAAGTATGAAAAGACAGTCACATTGATTTTATTTTCTTCAAAGCATGTCTAGCAGACCACAGCAAATGGGTGCTAATGAAAATCAGTACTCTTCCATTAAAATGTCATTTTGTGTTTTGGTTCATGATCCCTACACCTCAGTGCTAACTGCCCTCGGAGGCTGAAAGCTTGGTGGTACGAAGATTTGAATCATCTTCTTTCCGGTCTATTGCTTTTCCCGAGTGGTCTACTCCCCCCTCTAATGCTGTTCGGCTGAGGCTTTATATTATGCTCTATTAAATCCCAGGCACTCAGGCTTATCGAACCATTGCAGGGTTTACCAGCAATCGTGAGACCTGGCTCACCAAGGAAGACCTGCCCTCTCACCGAGGGTTCCTGCTAACATTTTTTTTTTTCTTCATGCATTAAAGGGGCTAAAAGTGAGAGAATAGTACGATTGTCTTCTACTGTGCATAAACTCGTTATTTAATGCACTTTAGTTTTTCTAATTGGAGAACTAATTTGCATGGAGTGCTGGGTTCATTCAATGAAGGAAATGAAATGACAAAGATGGAACTAGTCTGGAGTGGTCTGTACCCCATGGCACAGGGTGTGCGCACTACTATCTGAAACAGCCGTTCTCAACCTTTTTATCCAAGAGGAACCCTTAAAAAAAAAAGCTAAGATAATTGGTGTCCTTCTGCTGGCTTTGCCAAGTGTTGTTGGCCCTGGAACCATGCAGGCACCACCAAATGGAAGGCCAACCAGCCACAGATTAAGGAACCCTTAGCAACCCTAGGGTTCAACGGAACCCTGGTTGAGAATGGTTGACCTGAATTGGTTGGTGATGATGAGCAGGCAGGGTATGTAAATGTTTGAGCACCCGTTTTAGGAAAATAAAATTAATCTGTACATTTAACAATGCAGAGCGTTTCATAATGCTTTATTATGCTCATATATTCGGAGGTCCCTGGATTTCCTGCCATTGTGTGGTGGGGCTGCTAGCTTAGGCCAGAGAAGAGCATGCAACTGCTTTGGGACCCAGATGTTCGGATGTTTCGCTACAAATAATGTATACATTTTCTGGAAACCTTTATGCCATTGGAGTTGAAAGAAATTAGAATTCCTATCATTTGAGGAATTGTCTTTAAGATGAAGAGACTGGTCGGCCCCTTACTGGTTTTGCCTTTGGGTCAGCTCTACCCTAATAAAGCTATATATTCATAGGTCCCTGGATTTCCTGCCAGTGTGTGGTGGGGCTGCTAGCTTGGTCCAGAGGAAAAAAAAAAAACAGATAATCGGTGTCATTCTGCTTGCTTTGCCAAGTGTTGTTGGCCCTGGAACTATGCAGGCACCACCAAATGGAAGGCCAACCAGCCACAGCTTAAGGAACCCTTAGCAGCCCTAGGGTTCAACAGAACCCTGGTTGAGAATGGTTGACCTGAATTTGGTTGGTGATGGTGAGCAGGGAGGGTATGTAAATGTTTGGACACCCGTTTTAGGAAAATAAAATTAATCAGTACATTTAACAATGCAGAGAGTTGCATAATGCTTTATTATGCCCATATATTTGAAGGTCCCTGGATTTCCTGCCAATGTGTGGTGGGGCTGCTAGCTTGGTCCAGAGGAAAAAAAACATAATTGGTGTCATTCTGCTGGCTTTGTCAAGTGTTGTTGGTCCTGGAACTATGCAGGCACCACCAAATGGAAGGCCAACCAGCCACAGCCTAAGGAACTCTTAGCAACCCTAGGGCTCAACGGAACCCTGGTTGAGAATGGTTGACCTGAATTTGGTTGGTGATGGTGAGCAGGCAGGGTATGTAAATGTTTGGACACCCATTTTAGGAAAATAAAATTAATCTGTACATTTAACAAGGCAGAGAGTTGCATAATGCTTTATTATGCCCATATATTTGAAGGTCCCTGGATTTCCTGCCAATGTGTGGTGGGGCTGCTAGCTTAGTCCAGAGAAAAAAAAAAGATAATTAGTGTCATTCTGCTGGCTTTGCCAAGTGTTTTTGATCCTGGAACTATGCAGACACCATCAAATGGAAGGCCAACCAGCCACAGCTTAAGGAACCCTTAGCAACCCTAGGGTTCAACAGAACCCTGGTTGAGAATGGTTGACCTGAATGTTCGAGGAATCAGTGCTGTGGACCTGGAGTTGGTGAGCAGGGAGGGTATGTACATGCTTAGGCACCCGGTTTAGGAAAATAAAATTAATTGGTACATTTAACAATGCAGAGAGTTTCATAATGCTTTAAGAAGCCCATATATATATGGAGGTCCCTGGATTTCCTCCCATAGTGTGGTGGGGCTGCTAGCTTGGTCCAGAGAAAAAAAATAGATAATTGATGTTATTCTGCTGGTTTTGCCAAGTGTTGTTGGTCCTGGAACTATGCAGGCACCACCAAATGGAAGGCCAACCAGCCACAGCTTAAGGAACCCTTAGCAACCCTAGGGCTCAACGGAACCCTGGTTGAGAATGGTTGACCTGAATGTTCGGAGAATCAGCGCTGTGGACCTGGAGTTGGTGATGGTGAGCAGGGAGGGTATGTAAATGTTTGAGCACCCGTTTTAGGAAAATAAAATTAATCTGTACATTTAACAATGCAGAGCGTTTCATAATGCTTTATTATGCCCATATATTCGGAGGTCCCTGGATTTCCTGCCATTGTGTGGTGGGGCTGCTAGCTTAGGCCAGAGAAGAGCATGCAACTGCTTTGGGACCCAGATGTTCGGATGTTTCGCTACAAATAATGTATACATTTTCTGGAAACCTTTATGCCATTGGAGTTGAAAGAAATTAGAATTCCTATCATTTGAGGAATTGTCTTTAAGATGAAGAGACTGGTCGGCCCCTTACTGGTTTTGCCTTTGGGTCAGCTCTACCCTAATAAAGCTATATATTCAGAGGTCCCTGGATTTCCTGCCAGTGTGTGGTGGGGCTGCTAGCTTGGTCCAGAGGGAAAAAAAAACAGATAATCGGTGTCATTCTGCTTGCTTTGCCAAGTGTTGTTGGCCCTGGAACTATGCAGGCACCACCAAATGGAAGGCCAACCAGCCACAGCTTAAGGAACCCTTAGCAGCCCTAGGGTTCAACAGAACCCTGGTTGAGAATGGTTGACCTGAATTTGGTTGGTGATGGTGAGCAGGGAGGGTATGTAAATGTTTGGACACCCGTTTTAGGAAAATAAAATTAATCAGTACATTTAACAAGGCAGAGAGTTGCATAATGCTTTATTATGCCCATATATTTGAAGGTCCCTGGATTTCCTGCCAATGTGTGGTGGGGCTGCTAGCTTGGTCCAGAGGAAAAAAAACATAATTGGTGTCATTCTGCTGGCTTTGTCAAGTGTTGTTGGTCCTGGAACTATGCAGGCACCACCAAATGGAAGGCCAACCAGCCACAGCCTAAGGAACTCTTAGCAACCCTAGGGCTCAACGGAACCCTGGTTGAGAATGGTTGACCTGAATTTGGTTGGTGATGGTGAGCAGGCAGGGTATGTAAATGTTTGGACACCCGTTTTAGGAAAATAAAATTAATCTGTACATTTAACAAGGCAGAGAGTTGCATAATGCTTTATTATGCCCATATATTTGAAGGTCCCTGGATTTCCTGCCAATGTGTGGTGGGGCTGCTAGCTTGGTCCAGAGAAAAAAAAAAGATAATTAGTGTCATTCTGCTGGCTTTGCCAAGTGTTTTTGATCCTGGAACTATGCAGACACCATCAAATGGAAGGCCAACCAGCCACAGCTTAAGGAACCCTTAGCAACCCTAGGGTTCAACAGAACCCTGGTTGAGAATGGTTGACCTGAATGTTCGAGGAATCAGTGCTGTGGACCTGGAGTTGGTGAGCAGGGAGGGTATGTACATGCTTAGGCACCCGGTTTAGGAAAATAAAATTAATTGGTACATTTAACAATGCAGAGAGTTTCATAATGCTTTAAGAAGCCCATATATATATGGAGGTCCCTGGATTTCCTCCCATAGTGTGGTGGGGCTGCTAGCTTGGTCCAGAGAAAAAAAATAGATAATTGATGTTATTCTGCTGGTTTTGCCAAGTGTTGTTGGTCCTTGAACTATGCAGGCACCACCAAATGGAAGGCCAACCAGCCACAGCTTAAGGAACCCTTAGCAACCCTAGGGCTCAACGGAACCCTGGTTGAGAATG